ATAGAATTTGTAGTGCCACCTCCTGTAACTATAGCAGGAGCTTGAGATGTGTAGCCCATTAAGTCATTTTCCAAGCTTCGCCTAATTAGAGGGTCTAGGAGGTGAGTTAAATTTCTACCTTCTACCAGCAAGGATTACTTCTTGGTTCAGCTGACGTTCTTGATACACAATAATTTTTTTTTGTTATTCCTAAATCTCACAAACTTGAAGTTCAAAAATGTTTAGATGGGAGTGATACATTCAAGGTGGAAACATATAATCTTATATTAAGGACTTAAAATTGAGCTAAAGAAACACTCTTTTACTTCCATGTGGTTTTTGGATCAGACTGGACCAGACCACCCAGAATCAGGATTCTTTGGAGAGGGATGCTTGATGCTTTTGTGAAATTCCCAGACTTCTCTTCCCTTAAATCTAAAATATTTTATATTCTTCTTATATAATGCAGATGGAAGGATGGTTCTAAACCACACATAAAACTGAGATGACAATGTAAAATAAGAAATTGGTTGAAACTTTTCTAAATATTATTGTAGGTTTTCACCTTTATCCGTTTCTATTATAAATTGTGAAGGACAAAGAATGTTCTACAAATGGTAATTGATTAAAAATAAATTACTTTTTGCAGTGCTGCAATCAAGACTGTCATTATCTGTTCACTCTGTAGAATGGAGTCTTGCAGGGGGAATGTCACTGATGATCTCATAGCTGAATTTGCTGCCAAGAAAAATAAGAAAAAGAACATTTAACTTTTTAAATAGCTTGAATAAAGCAAAATTAGGGCAATATATTTACTAGGACCTACTAAAAAGTGACAGAATAATATGCAAACTCTCTAGTTTTAGAGTTATTCAGTATTCCTCCTTAGGCAATACATTAAAAAGAGAGATAGGAAAAGACAACCAAATTTAGGCTCAGTGTCCAAAAAAAATGTCCACATCAGGCATGTGAGTATAAACTTTGTTTATATCAATTTAGCAAACAGGAAAAGGATGGCTATTTGCAGATATCCTACACTTTGCATGTGAACCAGTATGTTTTTGTCTTTTAATTTTAACATACTCAATTTAAAAATACTCTTCTGTACATTGTGATATCAATATAGATATTTCAAAGAAGATCGTAAACATTTCCATTTTGGTCCAATGGAGAAAAAATTACATTGGCACAAAATGTATAAGAAGAAAGTGTCAGGAAAGGACCTCAAACAATCATACATTTTAAAAAAGGTTCTGGAGAAGAGGACCATAGAGGGCATTCTGACCATTTTAAAATATCCCAACAGTCAGACCTTAGGTCCTTCTTCAGATCCAACTTTCAGTTGTTGTTTCCTTGTCATATTGCATGGAGCAGGCTGCTTCATTCTGCTGTATGCCACTGAATGCATAATTAAAAACTAATTAGGAACATTCCTTGTAGCATATCAAGTGTGTTATACGTATCCAGCCTAGGCAATTATTTATTTTAATGCCTAGAAAATTGCAAAAGGAAACTGCTTTCTGAAGTTCTTGAACTATATGCTTCAGCTTTTGTGTAACTTTTGTGACCCAATAATTTTTTGTTTAACATAAAATTCCGTGATGCTTTCTTGATGTTTTTTCCCCTCAGAGGTGTCTCCTCCAAACAGCATGTTGTCTTGTTGGCTGGTTGAGCCTTCTCCTGCATAAATCTTGATTTCTGGAATGTAATTCTCTTCAAGTTAAGATTGGTTCCCAGTCTCTGTTTTTAGGAAAGACTTTAAAGCATACCTTTTAACTGAGTCTTTGAAATGGCTTTCGGAGGCTTAACCGATAATGTTTGTGTGTGTATGTTATTTTAATTTGTTATATTCTGTCTTTGTGGGTTCTGCAAAAGGAAATATACAAGTCTCCTTTTATTTATCAAATTGATACCCTGCCACTATCTAAACAGACTCACAGCAGCTGTCTGAGCTTCTAGGTAGGCCAGGGACAGCACATATTCCCAGAAGGCTTTTTATTGTTGTAGTGTAGAATAACAGAATCTTGAAATCTTGTCAGAATTTCTCTCCACTTCATCTTATACCAATCAAAAAATCAAGGTGGGGTTATTTTGAGTTTCTTTCTCACAATTGAACAGGTCTGTTATTTGTGTATCCAACTGTTGTTGATGCTGTAAGAATGCCTTGGCAACTTGTTCTGCAGACAACAGGGAACCTCAAAGTTGAGTCATCATGTTCTAGGTCTGATTAGGGTTACCAGAGGTCTGGCAGGAGAAGGATATGTCCTCCTTCTTGTCCTCATGTCCTCTGTTCAACAGAGATAGCCTTAAAATCAAATTTTGTCCAGCTTTTTGCGTATCTACAAGATATCTCTTCCTGAGCAGCTTTTCTTTGCAGCTCAGCACTTCCCTAATACGTGCTAACCACAAGTTAACAAGCTCTGCTCTGTGACCTTGATTAGTGCTCTCTGGCCTTCTTGTGCTGCTGCCTGAAATTGACAAGATCTTAATCAGTTACACACTGAAGGCTTTTGCCTCCTAATAGTCTCTACTGTTCCTACAGTTGAAAAACCAGTCTCTTTGATGCTGGAAAAAATAATTTAATATACATATAGGCATAAGTACTTTTTTTTTTTTTGCAGTTTTTCACTGTAATTGTTGTCACAGATGCCAAGAACGTTAAACAGTTAGTGTGTCTTCCTTTCCAATTGTCCATGTTCTCCTTTGCCTGTTCAGCTATCTGGTAACCTAGGTCTAATACCTCTCTGATGAGAGAGTAGTGAGGCTTTTGAGATTGATGTCAGACCTTTGAGGTAGACAAGGTCATGAAACAGGCACAGCAGGAATTCCAAGATTAACAATATCTTGAAAACATATTAGAGTTTCTCTCTGTTCCATCTTATATCAAACAAAATAAATAAAGGGTTATTTGAGTTTCTTTCTCACACCTTCCTCTTTCTCAGGGTTATTTGCTTCTGAAAATCCCCCCTTAATGGTTTGCTCACTCCTTCCCCATTCCCAAGGCCAGGTCTACATTCCTTCACAGTGGCTTACAACAAAAAGCCAAACACAAAATACGGGCAGTCCTTGCTTAACGATCGTTCATTAAGAATGATTTAAAGTTACAACAGCCTCAGAAAAAGTGCTTTATGACCTGTAGTCACCCTTACGACCATTGCAAACTGTTGCACCCCCATGCAGTCATGTGATCGCGATTTGCAACCTTTTTTATGATGGTTGTTAAGCGAATCACATCATTAAACTAATTCTGGCAAAAAACTTCAATTGGGGAAGCTGGATTCATTTAATGACCACATAATTTGCTTAACAACCATAGTGATTCACGTAATGACCACTGTAAAATTGGATCTAGTCACATGGTGACTCCTTTAACCTCTGCCCCACTTAACCAATTTTCCGGTCCCTATTGTGGTTGTTAAACTAGGACTATCTGTATATAAGAATACAAAAGCAAGATACCTAAAGAATCCACTCACAAAAATTTGGCAGTGTCACACTCCAAATGCCTTCCAGAAGAGTTATCCAAAAATAAAGGAGATATTTGTGATCAGCTGACAAAGAGATACTACTTAGGAGCAATTTCATCAAGGGCCTTAAATGCCACTTCTTGCCAGTGGTGAACCAGGCCTTTAACCCACTAGATTGCTGGGGAAATCTTCAAGCATCTGCTGGAAACTTGTTGGATTCATAAAATGCCTAGGGCAGACCACATGAATGAGTTTGGTTCTGTGGAGGGAATGGGTGGTAATCAATTGCATTTGGACCAGGAAGTGATCTGATCCTGATAAAGGGAAAATGATAATACCCTCCACAGTTAACAATTCAGGTCACTTTAATTATTTGATTTATTTACACATTTTATTTATTTAAATGATATATATGGTCACCCATCTCACAACAGTGTCTCTGGATGGCATACATGTTTTAAAATGATACTTAACCATCTAAACCTTGATGTTCAAAATGGAAACAATAAACCCAACTCAGTATTACCAGCAGAGCTCACCTAGCCACCTGGCCCAACTGCCAATCACCTAGGGGAAGGCATTAAGAATGAGTCACTGTCACAGCCCTTAGGTGGTGTAGAAGTCAAGGGCTCAAAATGGAACCTGAGTCACTTGAAGCAGAGACCTTTATAAGAACCAGACAAGAAGATTCTCCGCATACCTGCCAACAAGTAAACTTTATATTTTGTCATTTCTGCCCTTCAAGTGACTCACCTGGATCCATTACCTCAATTACATAATTTTTTCCTTCAATCTTCTATTTGACAAATATTTTGATTATTTTCATATCCATTATGACTTCTATCAACTTTCATGCAAACTTGGATTTCTTCATGTCTTAGTCAAAGATCCATTTTCAGGTGTGGCTTTCAGCCCTACACACATTTATAAACACATCTTGAGTTGCTCCCAAGTGGGAGGGCAATTTTATTTCCTCATTGATTTTCCATCATCTGTTATGAAAACCTGAAGCAGTCTAGTCCTGCCATGATACATTTTGTATGCTTTGTAGGGAAAATAAACATATTGCAGTATTTTTCTTAAAATACTGTATGACAGACATGACAAGGGCCTGCATGACTTATTTACCCCTTTTTGATATATGGAAATATATTTCAGATACATCCTTTGAGATATACTTGGCTGTACTTCACACATGACTGCGAAACCGAATGATGAAATAGAGGACTGGAAGACATGGTTATTCAGATAGATTTATATGCATGTGTGCATTTATCTGTAGCAGAGCTGTTTCAAATGCTTTCATTTTGAAGTGGTTCCTTCTAGGACCTTTTAAAGAAAGTTTGAATTTTGGCAATTGCCCCAACAATGTCATCTGGCTTGCACAACAGGAGCTGGGAAAGATCTAGTCATGGGCTTTGATTCTGTTTCCCCCCTCTTTTATAAAGGACAACAAGGGAATGCTTTTGGTACCTTTTTTCTATAAATCATATTAAGGCAGAAATACGGATGCTGCTCATCGTACTAACTGAATGTGATTTGTTTGACTTTTAGAATGTCGTGTAGTGAAATCCACTTCCTATACCAAAATAGCTTCAACATCACGTCGGAGCACCACCAAGAGCCCAGGTCCATCTAGACGCAGCAAATCTCCAGCATCCACCAGCTCAGGTAACACACTGCATATCAACTTAACTGAGTAGCAGGTAACTCTTTGGCTTTCCTAATGATTATTTAAAGGGGGTTAAATATTTGTACCTAGTAAAAGGGCACAAATATAGTTTGTTTTCAAAATGAAGAATAGTAAGTATTACTTGTCTACTGTGGATTGTCAGATAGTCAGAAATATCTTATCTCATCAATGAATTGAACTGTATGTACTGTACAAATCTTGTAACTGAAATAAAATTTAGGGAAGAAAAAGTGCTTTTAAAAAATTTTAAATATCCTTATTCAGCAAACTCTTTGACTGTGGTAATATGATTCTTTGAAGGTAAACTTGAGGTGGGGAGATAGAATAACTCTACCCACTTTTTCCTCATTCTGAAAGGCTGGAAGTATTAATAGAAGAATGTTCTGTGCTCAACATTTTTGAGGGGGGAAATGCTATGGGCTGTTCCTTTGATCAGTTATCCCTTTGAGTATCTTAAAGTGGGTGTTTGGGAAAGAAAAGGAATTTGATGCTGTATTGTGTATTTCTGAATTAATTGGGAGGATCTCAGAGGTGGTACAGGGGAATTTCAAGTTTGATACTGAGACTGTTCAGGATAGCTCATCATAGTTTATATTTAGGGCCTGTTTATCATTAGGCCTGCCTGCCTCTTTCTTTCTTTCTTTCTTTCTTTCTTTCTTTCTTTCTTTCTTTCTTTCTTT